AAAATTTAACTTTTGGAGGGTGTCTGTCGTATTTCGCTTGATTACATATATCGCAAAGATTTATATACCGTGTGATATCTGAATTTAAGTCTGGCCAATAGTATTTGTTTCTCAAAGCAGTTTGTGTTTCGTTAATTCCGCGGTGGCAAGTTTTGGTTTCATGATGATATTTAATTAAATTTTCGCGTTCATCCACTTCTTGTACATCTGTTACGAATTTTCTTGATATAACTAGATTGTAACTATGGTTTTTAAAAGTGTTTTGTAAAGTCGTTATTAATAATGGTATTAGATCGATGGTGATTGTGCTATGAACATGTAGGCAGTAAAGTTTTTTGGATCTATGTAATTTTTAAAAAGATTAATTATCTGACTACTGATTTCGTTGTTCGTGAGATAGGCTGTGATGCGAAGTTTATTTTTGAAATGTTTCGTATTGGTAACATGAAAATGTGTTTTCCCTTGTTTAATTATTATTTGTCTGTTGTAGGAATTTGTTAGATTTTCGGTAAATGGGATTTCTAGAATAGGGTTTTCTGCTGACGAATGAATTGTTTCGATGTCGTCATCAGGTGAGTTATTTTGATTGTCTAATTCATTTTGTTGAGTAACTATTATTTGATCGTCGTTAATACCTATGTGTTGTCGCGCTTGCTCTCTGTCTGTGTCTGTCAAGTTTATTGTACTTAATAATTCGTCAAGTTCATGATTTGCATCATCTATTGGCTCTATTAGATTTTCTAGAAAGTTTTTTGTTATTTGGTTAATGTCACCTAGTTCTCCTGACATTGATGAGTTATCTGAAAGGTTTTGGTTTTGTTCCGTAACATTTATTTCGATTCTGCTAAGCGCGTCTGCATTTTTATTTAAAGTTCCGGGTTTATAATGGATTTCATAATCGAATTCGGCGAGAGCTAGGCGCCATCTTATAAATTTTGAATTTGGTTCTTTCATATTAAAGAGATATTTAAGGGGTTTATGATCAGAAATTATATTTATCTTTCTACCGAACAGGTAACAGCGGAACGTTTTTAGGGCATAAATAATTGCTAACAATTCTTTCTCAATGGTGCTGTAATTTATTTCAGCGGAATTTAAGGTTCTTGAGGCATAGGCTATGGGTAGATCGCTACCGATTTTGCCTTGACTAAGTATCGCTCCGATGGCAAAGTTAGATGCGTCTGTAGTGACGTTAAAAGATTTTGTAAAATCGGGATATTGAAGTATGGGTGAATTTGTTAGAACAGTTTTACACATATTAAAAGCATTAAAAAATTCTTGGGTATATTCAATTTTCGCCCCTTTCTTTAAACATTTGGTAAGTGGTTTCGTTAACATAGCGAAATTTTTGATGAATCGGCGGTAATATCCCACGAGCCCCAGAAATGATTTAATATCTTTGGCCGTTTTTGGCAATGGAAATTCTTTTATTGTTTCTATTTTAATAGGGTTAGGTTTTACGCCGTCCGGGGTTACTACATGACCGAGAAATTCTACTTCTTTTCTTAAAAATTCACATTTGTCAAGTTGGACTTTTAGTTTAGTTTCTCGTAAACGATTAAAGACTAATCTTAAATTTTGAATGTGTTGTTCTAAGGAAGAACTGAATACAATGATATCGTCCATGTATACGAGACAAATTTTGCCTTGAAGATTCCTAAGAACGTTGTCCATTACCCTTTGAAAGGTTGCTGGAGCATTCCTGAGACCGAAGGGCATGCGGGTGTATTCATAGTGGCCACTTTCTACGTTGAAAGCAGTTTTTTGTACAGACTTGGGATCCATCTCGATCTGATGAAATCCGGATGCCAAATCCAGGGTAGTAAAGTATTGGCATCGTCCTAATTTATCTAGGATGTCTGTTATATTTGGGATAGGGTATCTATCCTCTATAGTCTTTTCGTTTACTTTTCTGTAGTCAACCACTATTCTAACTTTCCTACGTCCGCTAGCGTCTGGACGCTTTTGGACGACCCATATTGGACTACTCCATGGACTTTGACTGGGCCTTATAATCCCATCTTCAAGCATCTTGGAAATTTGTCTTTGAACCTCGTTCTTGTATACAAATGGATAACGATATGACTTGACATAGACCGGACTTTCGTCTGTGGTCTTTATTTCGTGTTTTACTTGATTTGTAAAACTCAATTTTTGGTTCTCCCTGTAGAATAATTCGTTAAATTCGTTACATAGACTAATTAAAATGGTTTTTTCTTCAGAATTTAAATGATTTGTGCGTATTAGGTTTTCTATGTCCTCATCTAATTGTTCATTATTAAAATTTTGTAAAATATTTTCTATATGAAAAAATTCTAAATTATTTTTGTTTCCCTCTGTAAGTGGAAAAACTTTAATAGGTTCTGTTAGCGTAATAGTAATTCTTTTATCTGTATTGTTAACTATTTCTGTTTTCGCAAGGCCGTTACAAGATAAAGTCAATGTTTCTCGGAAATCAAGCTCTCCGTATTTCATTTCGGGTACAATTACCTCGCCGTTAGAATGATCTACCGGCACCTGCATAGCAACGATTTCGTATGCATCCACAGAAATTGTATAATGTTCCCTATTTATTTTATATAAAATTGGTATTTTTGTATTTTCATTTTTTAATTCATTTTTTACTAAATCTACTGTAAACTTCAGGTTACGTAATTCGTTTAATCCTAGTAGCCCGTCAAAATGATTATGGAATTTAAATACTATAAAGTTTAAGTTAATATTGGAATTAAATTCTTTAAAGGCAGGAATTTTAGCTTTATGTTCGGTTTGTTTTTTACCAATAGCTGTAATTATTAAGGTTGGGTCGTTGTAAATATTTTCTGGGAAATACTTCTCCACGATATTTGGACTTAACATACTAGACATACTACCCGTGTCTATAAGCAGCTTTAAGGGTGGATTTTGTATAACTATATATGGCAAATCCGCAGAATATGAATTGGAAAATATTTCGTTTGTTCCTTGTTTTACTCTGGCTGTTTTCCGAAAATTTTCGGCACGCTGATATTCGAAATTACTAGGGTCAGAATTTATAGGAATTTGATTATTTTCTGAGTTTGAATTCATTTGATGATTCGGTAAATAACTTTCAAATTCGTATTCGATTTGATCGATAGGGGTTTCCTCAAATGGATTTTCAAAATCTATGTTATCTGTTTGAAATAGTTGTTGTGTTGCAAAATTTTGTTGATAGTTTTGTCTGGGTCTAAAAGTGTTTTGGGTGGTTGTTGACATGGGTTGTTGATAATTTTGGAAATTTTGTCTGGGTCTGAAGGTATTTCGAGTAGTAGTCGACATTGGTACTGGACTGTTTGGGGGTATTTGGCCCGTTGGGGCAAATGCATTTTTCGGTGGCCCGAATACCTGTCTATTTGTTGGATAATATCTATTAATCGTACGTGGTTGTACAGGAATTGGTTGGCTGGGGAATGAGTTATTTTGATAAGTTACGGGAAGTTGTATGGGGGCAAAATTTCTTTGATAAGCATTGCTGGGCTGGTTTCTAGTATTTTGGAATATTTGAGGGAAGCTTCTATACTGGTTATTACTAAAATGTTGGCGATTGTTATTAGAATTTTGGTGATTATTATTAAAATTTTGACGATCATTAAATCGATTGGAATTTGATCTGTATTGAGGGGTTTCAATCTGTTTTAAGTTATTCTGTGAATATGCGAAATTTTCTTCTTCAATTATATAAGTTATTGCTTGTTCTATATTGATTGGATTTTTAAGTCTAATGATAGTTTGTAAGTTACCAGAGAGATTTCTTAACAAGATTCTCAACGCCATTTGATTATATTGCCTTCTGTATGACTCTTTAGTATGTAAAGGAATTTCAGCATCTGTAAAGTTATTAATTCTACCGATCAAGTGACTTCTCAAAATTTGTAACCTTCGGGCGAAATCTATTGGTTGTTCGTTTCTTTGTGGATGTGCTGTTAACAAATCCTGTTCAAGACATTCTAAAGATCGTCTATCTCCAAAGCATTGTTGTAATGATTCTCTAATAGAATTCCAAGTATTTAATTCATTTCGCGAACCGACCAATAAATTTGCTCTATCTACAAATCTCGATTTTATTACCTGAAGAATATAACTTTGAATTGCCGGATCATTTACATTTGCATATGTGTTTACTACGAAGTCACAACTATTTAAAAATTTTGCTAAATTATTTTCATCCCCATCAAACATGGGAATGGTATCGACATGTAATTTTAACATATCAATATTTACTTGATTTGCATTTATTTGATTTACGTTTGCTTGATTTGCATTTAATTGGTTTCCATCCACCATATTTATTTTTTGATTAAAATCTGCGATTAAATTATCTATATTGTTCATACAAAAATCTATATCTAAGTATATATTTTTTTTTTTTTATTTTCTTTCGATCAAAAAAAATTATTTATTCACTTAACCTATTCTAAAATTCGCAAAAACTAAGTGTAAAATGAGAGGAAGTATAAAAGGAGTACTCATTACTTACTTGAACTTCTTCTGATGATTCCAGCTCAGCAGGCCTCCGTCTCCAGGGTAGATTCCCACAGGAAAGTTCTCGACACCAAAGAGTTGAAACTCACGTAAATTTCGGAAAATCGGACCCGATGCCGTGGCTTTTCGCGAAAATACTGTGTCGATCCTACTACGACTGCGCCAGTTAAATTTATTTAACTCGAAAATAATTTTTTAAAAAACAAAAATTTACTTTTCGAAGATTAGAGACTTTATTTATGACTTTGTTCTACAACAATCTAAGCTGGAATGAATTTTTATAATATAATTTTAATGATAATAATAAATGCAAAGTTAACAGTTTGCGCCGTTTACGGTTTTATATTTTAATAGACTCGACGTTTCTTCTTATATAACTTGCAAGAAGCTTATCGTAGAGCCTGGAAAAAGCGTTACAGCAAACAACGATAGTTATAGCGATTGAGATGTCCAAGAACCAGTAACAAACGACAGTTTAGACGATAAACCCTTTGAAGATGTGCAAGAGGTTGTGTGTCAAAGAAAGTGAATATTTTAAACCGCGAAATGAAGATATTAAAGTTGAAAAATTTATACTAGTAAAGGTCATGGGAGGATCTACAAAGAAGACAGTTTACCGCTACACGGCAGTAGTACAGGATGTTAGTTTTGACAACGGAAAACCAGAGATTGAACTCCTGGGGATGAAGTCTTCTGACAAGACAAGAAAATTATTTATCCCCCAACCCGACGATGAATTTGTGGTGGATATGGAAGACGTGATAGCTATTTTGCCTGCTCCTATCATTAATAATTTTAACGGAATAGTGACTTATTCATTCGAAATGGAAATCGACGTTTACGAAATGTAAGAATCCATACTGGGGTGAGATTTATCAGTTTGAATGGATCTTCCTGCTTATCCTATGAATTAAATTTCTTGTGATCAATCTCATTCCACATGTAGTATGAGATTGTTCACGATATTTTTTCTTTTCACAACCTATAGTTATTTTTTTTTATTTTCTGATTAACGGGTATCGTTTCTAACACCAAGACCTATTGAAACAACTTATTTACAAAAATAATTTTTTACACAAAAAAAAAATTCACGCGAAAGACTTTTTTTCATGATCAATTTCCCCCCAAACGATGTACTGTATTGATCTCGTATTTATGAATATCCAGCCAATTACAAAAAAAAAAATCGAAAAGTTTATAAACGGTTGAAAAATATCGTTCATCGTTTAATTTCAACTTTTGTAATGGAAAAACTGTTAATTCGTTATAATTAACGTTTAGTTACCTTTGTAAATTCATTATATTTAATTTTGACACAAATTCGCGTGGTGGTTCCTGAAATAAACATAAAGAAATAACTTTAAAATGCAATTATCTTCTAAGTTAATACGTTTGTACGTACCTACAAACTGTCCATGTTATTCCAGAAACTTTTCATGTTAACCTCGTATGAACCACGCGAAGTCCTACAATTTGTATCACTCAAAATTTTTTCGGCGGATACCTACTTATTTAATAAGAAGCTAATAAGACAATTTCGAGGAAATGAAATGAAACAACACATTAGACGGGGAATGTAAAATATAAAGAGTGATGAATGATTATACCCCCTGTAGATTAATATGATATTTGATTCGTTTTTCGAAAGGTTACGATAAAAATCTCAGTATGGGGCGATCTGAATTTCGAAATATTATTTATTTCAATTATCCATCCGAATCTCGTTTCGTTCAATACATATTGAACAGAGACGGGTTAATATTTTTTAAGTCTGTGCTGGAAAGAATCAATGATCTGTCTTGTACATAAAAAGGGAAATTAATCTAATTGAACAAATTGTAGATTAACTCTTATGGAACACTGTGTATAGAATAATGGCCACAGAAATCAAGAATAGAATAAATAGGACAATATCAATATGTATTTAAAATAGATCAGTCATCGATATGGTATTTTATAATAATTATTATTCGCAAATCATTTTACCTGGATTATCAAATTGGGTGATTACTTTTATAAAAATGTACCGCACGTATACGGGTAACTTTGCACCAATGCTGTAAAAGTATGTTTCTGTCAACCACGCAATCAATTTATTTTGTTGCTCCGGCAACCCTGCCTGCCGATTTTTAGATACTCCAATACGTCATACTAACCGACATGACATCGTGTAATAGCATCAGTCTTTTGTCATTTTCCCCGCCAATTATAACCTTAAAATTTTGACGTTTTAGAGCTGTGCAAAATCTTATTGATACCAAGTCGCCAATTGATAAATGCGTAAAAACGTGCGTAAACATATTATGTAGAACATAAGATGAACATTGAATAGAGAACATTATATGAGAACATTATATGAGAACATTATATGAGAACATTATATGAAAACATATGAAAACATATGAAAACATTATATGAGAACATTATATGAGAACATTATATGAGAACATTATATGAGAACATTATATGAGAACATTATATGAGAACATTATATGAGAACATTATATGAGAACATTATATGAGAACATTATATGAGAACATTATATGAGAACATTATATGAGAACATTATATGAGAACATTATATGAGAACATTATATGAGAACATTATATGAGAACATTATATGAGAACATTATATGAGAACAATAATTCAGAACATTACATGAGAACATTATATGAGAACATTGTATGAGAACATTATATGAGACCATTATATGAGAATAATATATGAGAACATTATATAAGAACATTATATGAGAACATTATATGAGAACCTTATATGAGAACATTATATGAGAACATTATATGAGAACATTATATGAGAACATTATATGAGAACATTATATGGGAACCTTATATGAGAACATTATATGAGAACATTATATGAAGAACATTTAATGGAGACCACTTTATAAAGAATATTATATGGAGAAAAACAATAAATGTAGTCAAGACAGAAAATAAAGTAGTTAAGACAAGTAGCGGGACTGGCAAATGGAAAGTCAACAAAACAAGTATGAACAGGAGTAAAAACCGAGTAGAAAAGAAGAAGAAAATGAAGAAGAAGAAGAAGAAGAAGAAGAAGAAGAAGAAGAAGAAAAAGAAGAAGAAGAATTTTAAATGAATTGTTTCAATTCATTTCAATGATCATCTTCACATTGAATAACCGTGTCATCTGTGAATTATGCGGTAATTTTAGACTTTAATGTTAAAAGACTATTTGAGCCGTTTATTTTGAAAGTTGCCTAAGTCCATTTTATATTTAAATTAAGCTATTTATTATTAATAATGTCCGAAGGCAGTAATGAAAGTAATTTTAATTATTTAGTATTTAACAAGTTAACATCAGTTTTTGGATAATTGCACAAATTTACACAAACCCTTAGATATCTCAATTTAAGTATAAATCGACTTAGACCACTTTCAAAATAAACGGCTCATTTATGGAAACTAAAAACACATTGTGGTACTCCAAATTTTTTTTGTAACTAATTACTTAAGGTGTTTGTATTTTTTACCTCTTGTTCTCTATTTTTCAGATATAGCCCAATCGGATTAGTATTTTAGATTCTGAAAAATTCGAAGCAGCAATTTTCCTTCGGAATTCGTTGGAGGGGGTCTCTGGTAGTCTAAATTCAAAAAGTTGGGATTCCAAAGTTGTCGTTACCTCCGCCATCTTGATTTAAAGGGTTATTTTTTGTATCTTGAATAACTCATTTATTTTCAATTTTACACGGAAAATAGTTTTTACAAAAGTTATTTTAAATTAAATTTCCTACAATTCTGCTTTTTTTTTCTGTACGATCGATTTTTTTCGATTTATACCCGAAAAGAGGGGGTGAATTTTTGGTTATAGAATAACTCGTTTATTTTCAATTTTACGATAAAAATTGTTATAAACAAAGTTGTTTAAAATTAAATTTCCTACAACTCTGCTTTTTATTTTGTACGATCGATTTTTTTCGATTTATACCCGAAAAGGGGGTGAATTTTTGGTTATAGAATAACTCGTTTATTTTCAATTTTACGAGAAAAATTGTTATAAACAAAGTTGTTTAACATTAAATTTCCTACAATTCTGATTTTTATTTTGTACGATCGATTTTTTTCGATTTATACCCGAAAAGAGGGGGTGAATTTTTGGTTATAGAATAACTCGTTTATTTTCAATTGTACGAGAAAAATTGTTATAAACAAAGTTGTTTAAAATTAAATTTCCTACAATTCTGTTTTTTTTTGTACGATCGATTTTTTTGGTTTATCCCTGAGAAGAGTGGGGGTGAACCTAAGTATTGTATTGTCACGTTTATTATTGATGTTGTACCATCGTTATTTTGGGGTTTACTGTATACCTGGAATTAAAAAGAAACGTGATAATACAATGATAAGAGTTTACCCCCACTCTTCTCAGGGATAAATACAAAAAAATCGAGCGTACAAAAAAAAACAGAATTGTAGGGAATTTAATTTTAAACAACTTTGTTTATAACAATTTTTCTCGTAAAATTGAAAATAAACGAGTTATTCTATAACCAAAAATTCACCCCCTCTTTTCGGGTATAAATCGAAAAAAATCGATCGTACAAAAAAAAAGCAGAATTGTAGGAAATTTAATTTTAAATAACTTTTGTAAAACTATTTTCCGTGTAAAATTGAAAATAAATGAGTTATTCAAGATACAAAAAATAACCCTTTAAATCAAGCTGGCGGAGGTAACGACAACTTTGGAATCCCAACTTTTTTAATTTAGACTACCACAGACCCCCTCCAACGAATTCCGAAGGAAAATTGCTGCTTCGAATTTTTCAGAATCTCAAGCCTGTTCTTCACCTAATCCGATTGGGCTAATACGAAATTAATAGTTTTAGAAAAATACCTCTACGCCAAGGTCTTTCAAACAAGCCAACATGATTTTGTGGTTCACTATGTTGTCAGCCTTGGCTAGGTTAAAAAGTACATAAAGTTATTTTATTATTATCTCGGCCTTCATAAATATTATTTGTTAAAAATATAATTTTCAACCTCAGTAGAAACATGTTTTTTTTTGTAACCATACTCCCTTTCTAAAACGAATTCAATAATTTCTAAAAATTATTGATCTGTTGATATTATTAATCTGTTTTTTTATACAGTTATGATCGTAGTCATGTAATCTTACTCATTGGGTGGTATGCATAAAACGTAGTACATGCTAATGCTTCGGAAAGAAGTATCTACTACGTGGCATTTTTTTTTATATACAAAATAACTACTTCATTTGAGAAGAACATACTACGGATCATAGCTAGGTAGGAGTATCTACTACTGATTCAAAGTATATATTAATGACTCGAAGTATCTACCTCAGAATAATTAATAATACAGTAGCGAGAGCTTGAGTCGACTCCTTTGATGTCGAAGTGGTCAGATTTTTATTGACAGTTGACGTTCTTTCCGCTTATTTCTTCACTAAGAAAAGTAACTCCAAAATATTTTGTTCCTGTTTGAATAAAATATCACACAATAAATGAAAGATGAAAAATAAGTCCAAATATAATAAAAATATATTAAAATGTGCATTACAACCAATCAGATAATCAAAAAAATCAACCACCAATAATCCATTGACAATATACGTATTCCAGTTTGACGTATTTACCACTTATTTACGGACATGCGCAGAAAATATGGAACCCTCATAAACAATGAATTCTCATTGCTGTATTATTAACTATACTGGGTATCTACTACCTACCGTTTGTTTTTACGCATTTCCAGGTAAATAATTTGTAAGCAGTCAATATTTTGAATGTAACTGGATATTTAACTACTGGCATAACTTTTCATAAATATACTTACAGATAGATTACCAT